TAGGTTTAGGGGTTAATTTTAGCTTTAGCGTTTACAGCGTGCTTATTTCTCCGCGCTGTTGTCGCGCTGTAATGACGTCAGCTACGCGGTTTAATCGGGCGCGCTTTAGTCGAGCGCGGTTTTGTCGTGCCACGACTTTACGTAGCAGATCAATGGAATTGTAATGAACACTGAGCAGAAGGGATTGTTATTTAAAGACAATCAAATATAAGCTGTTAAGATATGGAAAAATGGAGGGGGAACATGAAATATAATGAGATTATAAAGACAGATTAAAAATTTGGGGCGGGTAACGATATATAACTATACAATATTATGATGAGAATAGCTGGGAATTGCAATCAGGTCCACATTCCAGACTAAAATAATTTGGGTGTGTGTGTGTGTGTTTTAAAAATATAATTGCTATATATATATACTTTTTTTCCTTCATTGCTTAAAAATGTTAAAATTAAAGAGGTTTATTGATATGAAATTATAACGAAGAAGAAGAGAGGGTAAGGAGAGAGGGTGTGGGGGGAGAGGAGGAGAGAAAGAAGGAGTGGAAAGGGGAAGAGAGGAAGGGGAAGTAGAAAAGAGAAGAATGACAGAGGGTAGAAAGGAGGTAGGGAGGAAGAGGAGAGAGGGAGAAGAAAGTGATGGACAGGGTAATATGGTGTATGGAGAGCAGAGGAGTTAATAATTGTTTTTGGGGAGTTGATGGTAAGACAAATTGATGTTAATATTGAATAATATAAACTTATGTTGGTTATGTATCAGTATACATGTGGTTATGTGTTATGAAAATGAAAAAAATAAAAAACTTTAATGTAGAAAAAAAGAAAACTGTCTTCTGAGTTTAGCATAATATGGGATAATTTAACAGAATCCAGCCAATTCCTTGGCACGAGCGAAGAGCTTTTGGTTTAATTAATTGGCTTTCCGAGAATTACTTTTTAGGAACTTAGTTGTCACTTGCCAAATTAGAATGGCTAGGGATGGTTTTTATGTAAAGATCGATCCTTATGAGAAGGTGTGAGATGCTAGTGAAATATCACCATAGCTTAGAAAATTATAAGATAGTTCCTTCTGTGCATCAAGGTAAAGAATTCTAGATAACCATTACTTGAAGATATATTTACATTGATGTGATGAGTTGGGGAATGAGGTGCTTGAAAACAACCATGGTTTGCTGTTATCGGTGGCGTCAACTACGAGTTTGTGCATTCTCCAGTCGTCTTCCTAGCTGCCACATACTAGATAAGCTGTGGTGGTGCAGTTCTTAAAATGCTTAAAACTCTACCCATAGCCTGGAGTTTGATCCTAAAGGGCTAAAGGTTGACTCAGCCTTCCAACCTTCCAAGATCAGTAAAATAAGGACCCAGATTGTTGGGGGCAAGATGCTGACATTGTAAACTGTAAATAGAGAGTGTAGTAAAGCACTACGGGATGGTATATACCATAAGTCTAAGTGCAGTTGCTAAGAGAGAATGATGGTGACTTGTATTGCTGCTTGAAGTAGCAGATTATATATACCATATTTTTCAGAGTATAAGATGCACCTTTATCCTTCAAAAAGAGGGTGAAAATCTGGGTGCATCTTATACACTGAATCCAGTATTTTTGGCCTCCTGAAACTCTTCCCCCGTCGCAAAAATGGCCGTGCATAGCCTTTAGGAGGCTTCCAGAGTACTCCTAGGGGATGGGGAGGGCAGAAATGAGCCCTCTACAGAGTGCAAATTTTTTTAAAAAATTTGCCTCTTTAAAAATCTGGGTGCATCTTATATTCTGGTGCATCATATACTCTGAAAAATATGGTATATTTGCCAGCTGACAAAAATAATTAGTTGGAATCAAACTGTGGTTAGGGATCCTGGCTGAAAAAAACTGTTGTAAATGTAATTTGCTGGATTGCACCTTGGTTTTCTAGAAACAAGGAGATGAGACAGGGCAGACTTTCGGGGTGGGTGGGTGGAGAATAGCGTGTACCCTAGTTCTGTGTTGGGAACCATCTTTCCATCCAGTCATTGGTAGATCCCTGGAGCTAGATGGTCCATGCTCCTGTACCCCCCTTGGTCTCATCAGAATGGAGCTTCAGCCTCTTTTTCTTCATCGAGACCCAACAGGCATTATAATAGCAATCTTTTGTCTTCCTTACTTGGTTGGTTCAGGATCAAGGTCAGCCGTGCTGAGGATATAGAGAGTTTGCCGTATTCTGTCAAAGACTATTAATATGTCGAGATCTGGAAAGACTATGCAATAATGGAAACCTTTCCCTGTAGGAAGCCAATATTGAGACGGCTGTTGAATACTATTTATGTACTTTGACGGGCTTCGTTCCAAAAACCAGAAATACTTCCCCGCAGGCTGTTTTTCAGGTTATATGTAATTCTGCTTTTTTTCCTCCATGGTATAATTGGCTGGAAAACTGCCGTTATAATTCAGTGAAGTATACAGAGTGGGGGGGGGGGGGAATCTACTATATGTGTGCCAGAAATGTAAGGAAATCTTCTGAGGAGTGTTCTACTGGGGAGAGGGGAGTCATTGTGAGCATCTGAATGTTGTGTTGTGCATATCATTTAATTTTCTGATTGCGTCTCCTCCCCCCGCATATTACTGTATTTTTTGGAGTATAAGATGCACCAAAGTTTTAAAGAGGAAATAAAAAAAAGGGGTTTGCACTCTGGAAACCTCCCCAAAACGGGCCGTTTTTCATGAAAATGGGCCCATTTTTTTTTTTAAAAAAAGGCATGAATAGCCTTTAGGAGGCTTATAGAGTGCTTGTGGGGGGTCGGGAAACGAGCAAAAACAGCCCTATTTCTATGTTATCCTTTAACATTGATCACAATTCATTAAAAAAATTAAAAATATAATTGGGGTCGCTTTTCTTCCACCCCATACATCCGTCTTATTTTACAACAACCCTACTATTTATTCCATCCTCCCAATCTCCCTTCAGATTACTTGCCTGTTAAATTTATGCTAACACTGGTTTTAAGAGCATCTTCCTTTCTTTCAGAAACAAGGGAATTACCAAGCAGCCCCGGTGCCTGAGTACAACGTCCCAGCCTTAATGGAGTTAGTGCGGGAG